TATTTAATAACTGGGAAAACTGTCTTTTTCAATGGAAAAAGCAGTAATAAAGTATGAATACAATTGAATAATCTAAATGAAAATTATCAAAATGAATTAAACTGGCAAGAAGCTGTTAATATGAAAAGGAATTACATAATTGTAATTAAAACTGCAAAATAAATGGTTTGAAATAAACATTAGGCAATAAACAACTATTCTAATCTGATTCGAAATATCACCCTAATTAAATCAAAACAAATTCCAAAGCCATAGAGGTGAACAATCTGTGAACAATTCCTATTACGGTAAACCGCTAAATGGCCCTAGGCTGTTCTCTATGTAACACTGTGGTTAGGCAACTTAAAACCTGTTCCACCAAAATTACAATTACAAGAAGTTGTGCAAGAGATTTAGAAGAAGTCTGTAAAATGCCTTTGTCATCATGACTTATGAATACGAAAAATGCACATAAAGAACGAGTGAGAGAAACACTGACCTGCTGGTGCAGAGCGAGTAACAGACCATCAATCTGTGTCTCCAGCACTCTGCTGCCCATATTCACAGAGGCCTCCAGGACCTGACACAAGCTCTGAACAAACACAAACAGAATTAGACTATATTAGGCAGTACAGAGTCCTGGATTTTCTCATAGATTTGGTCATAAAATCTGATCTGATTCTGTCAAAGTCACAGCAGACTGCTTAAATAATACACAAACAATGTGGAAACGGTCCAGAGTGGAAAACATATGGGAACTTAGATTGAATAACTGGTTGACCCATTAACTTCCACCAAACATTTCCTGTAATAGTGAAATTGTTGAGGAGTGCTTTACCTTGGTGATGATGTAGTGTTCTGAATTCTTCTTATAGAGGCCCAGTATAGTGGGAAGGAGTTTGGGAAGCTGTTCTTCCAGTTTATCATGTGCCATCAGGTGACTCATTGACCCAAGAGCCTCTGCAACAGTCAGACGCAACTGCAGAATGACAATTGAGAGCAATTGCAACGCATACATGAATCCACACTCACACAAGAGCAAATGAACACAAACACTGAAACAGATAATAACCAAACCAGACTGAGAAAATTTTAAACAGTTATTTTTTAAACTTAAATGGTCAGTGACCAGGAAGTAGTTCAATTAAAGTCTTAAATAAAACACATGATTTTTAATGCCTCTATAAAAATGTAATGTATTAATGGTGAAATAACTACACACAATCCAATCTTCAGCATTTACAAAGAAATCCACCTCTCTGAAAGAAGTAGATTCAGATAACAACCTCACATGTTTTTTCCCGCTTCAATCCCAAACGAAACTGAATTGAACCCAGTTGGCGCACATTCGTGTCCCTCTTTAGTCTCAAAGTGAGTTAGCTGTAATTGGATGCGTGCTCCGTCTCATTGAGTGTACCTTGGACTCTCTGCTCTGGATCCAGCTGTTGAACAGGATGTCGTAGGCTGAGTATATCTCACTAGAGAAGGTGTCTTTACGCACAGTGGGGTCCGGAGCCTTGTCCAGGTTGGCCAGGTATTCTAGAATGCTCTCACTGAAGCGGCAGAGAGCTGAGAGCAAATGTTTAGAGAAAAGAAGCCACGTCACTACACAAATTTAACAGTAATCAAAGCATTTCATTCAAGTAAAAGACAATATATACTTTTTTGGAAGAAGTGACAATAAAGACTTTTACAATGTAAAAAAAAATTGAATATTTCAAATAAATGCTATTTTTTGAACGTCCTATGCTTGAAAGAATCCTAAATTACTTAACATTTATTTATTTAGCTGATGAATTTTAACACTTACGCAGACCTGTAACTGAGCTTACCAGAAGAGAAGACCCATTTCATGTTGTCCTGTTTGGTCATGCCCAGCATGGGCAACATGGTCCCCATTATAGCATTGAGAAAAGGCACCATACCATATACTGGGGGCAGAGGTCAAAATATCAAAAACTTAACCACCCAAGAACACAGGACCTAAACAAAGTCATTTTATTTTATTATTAATGTAATTTCCCTTAAAAAAAAA